AGCGGGGAGGGAGGTTGGGAGGGAGCTGGAGGAGCGGTAGAGAGCTCAGGAACGGGGAGGGAGCTGCAGGGAACGGGAGGGAGCTACAGGGGAACGGGAAGGGAGCTGCAGGGAACGGGAGGGAGCTGCAGGGAACGGGAGGGAGCTGCAGGGAACGGGAGGGAGCTGCAGGGAACGGGAGAGAGCTGCAGGGAACGGGAGGGAGCTGGAGGGAGGCGGGAAGCAAGCTGGAGGAAACTGAAGGGAAGCGGGAGAGCTGGAGGGAATGGGAAGGGAGCTNGTCATGCTATCAACATTAATAGCATTGGGGAGAAAAAAATCCTGAAAACTCAAGGAAGGAAAAAAATTAAGTGAGGTCATGTTGATTAGTAATTGGCTCCTTGGTGGCTGATCCCTTGTGGAGCCTTCTATGTGTATAAACATTTCACAAAAGAATACTACAGTGAACATTACATTTTTTTGGCGGCATTGGATTAAAACGCTTTATGAATTTGGAATGCACTGTGGATAAGTTCTATGCTTCACATCCATGTTTGCAAAATAAAAGGTTGATTGCATTTGCATGAATTTTCATAAGGCTCTATGTGTGTGTGCTTGCATGAGCATGCACGCAGTACTGTTACACAGACTCACGTTAGTGTATATAAAATCACTGATAAATAAGGAATGTGTTGCCAGCATTTTAAAAAATGCTTGTTACTCGCAAACAAGCTCTTCATACCAGACAGAAAGTCTTGGGTGTCCTTGGTGAGTCATACCTTTTATAATTCCATATCAGACAAGATATGGAATGGTAAGGGAGTCACCAAGACGTTTATTGGCGAGGCTTAAAAATCTGGCACCAAGTAGACCCCTAAGCCAAATCCTGAGGCCCAAAATTGATGCGGTGAGTATGCCTTCATTAGGGTCACGATCTTGGTGTGTTCAGAGGGAGTTGTGCAGTTGATGCTTTCAGTACATCTGTTTTATTTTTTGGAGGTTCTCAGGGAGAGCAGTGGAGGGTAATAATAGTTTCTGTGGCATTAGATCAAGGTAAATGAGGTTAGAATCATTGAATAAATTCAAAATAGAATTTTGTACTTTTTCACTCTGCCGCATTCTTTGAAATGAGAATAACGAATGAATCACAGCTGTACATTTAAAACAATATATTGTTTTCATGAAATTCATCTTTGACTTTATTCTGATTCAAAGCTTTTTTTTTTCTTTCTTTCTTTTTTTCTTTCTTTTCTCTCCATAAGAATAATAATTGAATGTACAGTCTCAGTATTATACTCAGGCTATTATGCAGTCACAGGATGAATTCTCATTCATAACACTGCATTACTTTCCTCACAGTATAAACCAGTTTCAACTCGAAAGCTGCGTCGAAGAGGTAATGAGCCTGCACCCATTGTAGAAAAGCGGCGCAAACCTGTTTCTAACACACTTCAACTCTTGCTTGAAGAGCGTGAGGTAGATGAAGACTTGAAGCTCATCAACAAGAGCAAGCTCATTAATATGAAGAAAAGTAGGTTGATTAGAAAACTTTTACTGTCTTCCCCCCCCCCTTTTTTTTACAATGGTTTTATATGATTTAAAAATATTAAATTTGATGATAATCCCACTCTTAACCTTCTCTTCCTTCTACTTTTTCTTCTTCCTTTCCTCCTCCTCCTTCTCTTCCTCCCCCTCCTTCTTTGTCTCCTCTTCCTCCTCAAGTTCTACTTTTTTTCTTCATCTTTCCCCTTTTCCTTTTCCTCTATCTCTCCTTGCGTCTCCTCCTCCTCATGATGATAATGATGATAATTAACTTTAATAATTTGTTTCCATTTCAGCCTCACCTGCCATTGCTCCTCCTGAGCTTATAGGAAATGAACCAAAAATTGAAAATGGAAAGCTCTATTTTGATAAAAAATGGTGTGTATCGCACTGTGTTTTTGTGTAATAAGAGTGGATAGTGTTGTAAATGTTACTCTGATATTTTTAGATTAGAGGTTTCTTGTCAACATTTATTGTTTCATTGCATGATTTGATGGCTTACATAGGAATGGTTATCATACTTAATTCCATTCTGGCAAGAGAATAGTAGAGTAAATATTTTTTTCTAATGAAAATAATCAGCTCTAGTCATTAAGGAAAATGAGCTTTTTTATTCCTTTATAGGTTTCATAAAGGCCAAGCTGTGATGATTGAGTGCAAAGATGGTACCCGATTCAATGCCATTCTCACTGTTGCAGGGAATGATATGGTAAGTTTCACCTTAGACATTTTTTGTTTGCATAGCAGCTTATTGGTTTGTGTTTTATTCTAGAATGCGTTTGCTCTAAAACTTTTATAAATTGAGCAGTATGGAAGCAACAACAAACATATGATCCATATATTGTCTTTTATTTTTTGCAAAGAAAATTAAGAAAAAATCTACTTCTTTAACAGATCATGGTTAGGAAAGTACCAGACAACATTCGCTTGAAAATCACCCTCGCCCAATTGGCACATGGGAAATACTTGGTGCGCCGTAGGAGTTCAACGTGACAAGCAGAGGATGTGTATGCTGTGGGTCCAAGCTTCTTTTAAACCAGACCATGAGTTTTTCAACATCATTCTGTTGACACACTATGTGCAATGCAAATGGATTTGCAGTCATATTCTGATTTGGTGTGCCTTTCTGTTCAAAGAAAACTACACAAGTGGAGTAAAAGGAATCTGACCTTATTGCAGTTCAAGTCGTATGACATAAGTGGTGGATATTGAGAACTCAGGTTTCAGTATTACTTAATATGGGAGTCTCTTTCTGCCTTTACCTTACATGTGAAGTACAACAGTAAAATTAGATTTAATGATAAAGGGACTTGAAATGCATTTAGACTTAGGCAAGATATTTTTATTGTAGCACATTAAGCCTTGACAGAATTAAATATGAATTTATTACAGCCCCCTTTTATTGAACCTTTTCTTCTTGGGTTTCAAATAATTCCAAATATGTAAGGAATTTCTTTCAAAATTTAATTGAAAAATAAGAAAATGGTTTCATCACTTGTCATATCTATTAATGTTATTATTACTATTATTGTTATCATTGCTATTATTGCTTTTATACACCCAAAAAGCCATGCCCGTTGTTATGGTAAGGGTGAGCTTCAGAGACGGCGACTGAGGCCAAGTGTTGGGGATCTCCCCTACCTAGGACCTCAGCTCTCAGCTCAACCAATTAATTTCAGACACTATTTTCTTTTCCTCTTTCCTTTTCCCTGTCTTCTTCAACCCTACTTCTATCTGTCAACAATATGCAGAACTGGATGGGTTGGGCTTCACACCTAGGCCAAGCAGCTGCCTTACTTCCTGGCTTCGTACCTTATTTGCTCAGTCCAGTACTTTCTCCACCTCGAGGAATTTGTCTCGACCGGAAGAACGGACACCCAGAGAATATATTAACAGGCACCACGCCAACAGGACAAGGAGTCGCTGGATATAAGTTGTTTCGTCAGGCAGACCGAGGTGGCAGCAGAAGAAGCAGACCAGACCTAGTAGACTGGGTGAGGTCACCCTCCACGCCTCGGCTCTCAAGGCATGGGGTACACATACTCTGCTCACTTGTTGTGAGCAGGAGATAAGGAGACACAAATGCTCAGTTTGAGTTAAACTCGGTTTATTAACATAGATTCGTATAAATATTAACATCATTACCAAATATCAACAATATTTTCTTCTTGTTCCTACTTCTACATTTTCTGTTGAAATGTACAAATATCAAATCATATAGCAATAAAGTGTTGTCAAACTTGAGTTTATTCCAGTGTAAATGGTACAGTGATGCTCAGTACTACAAATTACTTCCTCTTGACACATCCACACTCAGTACCTGAAACAGTTATTAAATAAAATCTAGAAATTCAGTGCTTTCTTAAAATGTATCCATTTGAGTTAAGTGACATTATACCAAATAATTAAGGATAGTCTTCCAAAATCAACATCCACCAATAACACTTAGTATCAGATAAGAGCTGCTCAGATAATTATATCTCATTACCTTACCTGTCCTGAGACTTTTGCCACAGCCTTATTTTGAGATGCTAACCCTTGCCCTGTTTTTGTAACAAGCTGCATCACCTTCTGTCGTTTTGGCGCAGGTGGATTCTGGCCTGTGTCCAATTCATTCAATCTTTCCTCTGCACTGGACAACACTTGCAGTATGATGGGCCCATTTGTCTCACCTGAAATATTATACAAGGATTTAAATATCTGGTTATGAAGTAAAATTTCCCTCATTTCATTCACAATATTAGAATATATGTACATATTTTGAATGTAATTAAAGAGCAAAGCAAGAAATCTATCTTTATTCAGATTTCTTAACAAGTTCAAAACATCATAAACTTTTCTGCAGGGCACTGCCAAGTAATAAATTTGATTTTCAACTAGTTGCTTTACCCCTAAGATCTGGATGCCATTATGGTCCCGTCGTGAAAAAATCTGGGTCAAGGGCTGCGTGATGTGAAAATGCTATCATGAGCGAAGGCCAGGTTAACAGAAAAGACTCGCCATGAATGCACAAACCTCTTGGAATGTGATTTGACTCATTTGGCGCTCAGAAGGGGGCTTTAGCATTATTCCCATCGATAAACAAATGTGGAATGTAAATTTCGTTAGCTGCGACTGGGAGAGCGCCATTTCCATGCCCAACACATTCCTGGTTATGTTATTTTAATCTACTATATTTACCATTTGCTTCTAGAAGAGTGTACAGTACATGTAATTTGCTATCTAGTAATGACAGAGGTAATTCACATATCACATTTAACCCCTATGATCCGCACGATGAGACCATCCTGTTTGGGGCTGGGTGACGTATATGCCATTATCAGACAAAATGGCCGAGGGTTGGGTAACACCAACTTGCCGAAGGCCAGGATGATGGAAAGGCTCACCACAAGTGCTCAAACTTCTTGGAGTGTAATTAGACTCATTTGGCATTTAGAAGGGGGCTTTTGCTTTATTCCCATTGATATATGAGTGTGGAATGTAATGTGTGTAAGCCATGGCTGGAAAAGCACCGGTTCCAGGGAGGACACCATTTCCATGCCCAGCATCATATTCCTGGCTGCTGTGACCAGCATCACAGGTTGTATTACAGAAATTTGAAAATAATAAAAAAAAAGGAATAAATGACACAAATGACCAAATGTTACTTTTTTTTTCTTCTTCCACTGAGGTATTTATTACATAACAAGATGATATGGAGTCTATGGAAGGAAAATAATATATTACCATCTGGATAAAGTAAATCAAAAGACAAATATGGACATTGGAAAATGGCAAAGCTAAAAAAGTTTATGCAACAACTTTGCAAAGGGGAGTCTTGTCACCGCATGAGTGTTCGTACACGCCCAGCCTACGTGCCACATGCCTGGGATTGCACCCACTTATGTAACCCATTGCCCATATTTCCAGACCTGTGATTGGTGTGACACAATTGGATCCAATGAGTTAATATATTTGTGAAAAATCTTCAGTAGTCCAAAGCAAATGAAGGACTGTAAGCATCACAAGGTTTGCATAAATGTATACTAGTTTACATGACTGTCACATCATAGGAAAATTTGGCTGAAGGCCAGGGTATTGGGAATGATTCGCCATGAGTCGACAAAACTCTTGGAATAAAATTAGTCTCAGTAGGCATGTAGGAATGGGCTCTTGTATTATCTGCACTGGTAAACAGAGGTGTAATATATCATCCATGAGCCATGTCTGGGAGAGTGCCGGCTCTAGAGAGGTCACTTCAATGCTCAAGATCCTATTCCTACTTACTGTGACTGGTGTCACATGAGGTTGTTACAGAATAATTTAAACCACTACTCAAACAGCAAAAAGTTACTTAATTGTTATTGCACAGAATTGTAAAAAAGAAAAGAAAAATTGTCTATTACCATCTTGATTCAGTATATCAAATGACAGAGATAATAATATTGCAAAGGGGAGGCAAGAAGTCTTGATACCACAAACTAGAGTTTATGTGAGCTGGACCTACAGGCCACATATCCAGGAGATTTATCACTCATGGAAGCCTACTGCTTGGATTTTGGGTCACGTGTGCTGTGAGGCAGCTACATCCAACAGAGTATTACAAACCTGTCAAAGCAGCATACTGCTCAGGACTCAGTGTTATGACCTGAGTGACTTCTTGATTTTCATCTGCAATCTCTTCTACTATGCTTTCTACACCTGAAGTTGAGAGTAGAGCTGGCAGGCATGGTGCTGTCAAGGTAGATGATGAGTATGAAGCCTCGTTCTGCTTGGTTTGATTTTGGGGGAGTTGGAGTTTGAAGTTGTACTGGATTTTGTAGCTTTATTATGATCTGTATTAAGGTGATCTTGCTTTAATGTGGCTGTTGGAAGTAAAGGCATTTCCTGTAAAGAAGTTTAAATAAAAATCAGACAAACGTTCTTTCATATGGCTGAACATTTGCCAAAGTTCCTTTTTTCCCTCTTCTTTTTCTTAAAATAATTCAATCACCCACCAATTCCTGTCATATCAATCTGAAACCAGGAAACTGCAATATGAGAATCAGAATGTAACTAGCCTTTGGTAACGGGAATCCACTTGTTAGTATTTTCTCCATTTTCTCACCTATATTGGGGTAAACTAGACAACTCACAAAAATTGAAGAACATATAATTACAAAACTCAACAAACCTGTTTAATCAGTTTTAAAGCCTGTCTTCCAGCTTCTGTAAGGTGTAGTGTCTGACCATGTGCTACTGCTGACGTCACTAGAGTTGAGGAGTCATCTACTGGAAGCAGAGCAGCTTGGGCTTTCAGTAGTTCTAAGGCAGCTGCACTTGCTACATCTGCAAATTTTGTTTCATATAATAACACATGCTGCAAGAAATTACAATCATATATATATATATATATATATATATATATATATATATATATATATATATATATATATATATATATATATCCCCCCCCCAAGAAGTGCTAGTTATTTACTGCATTTTCAGAGAAATCATCAGAACTTCTCAACATATCCTCTGCCCCTACATTCTAAGCATCTTTCCATATTTCACATTATTTAAGTATTAAAAGGCACCTTGAACACAAATGTATAAATATTCTAACATTGTAAGTTAACCTGCTAATCTAAGGGGGGCTTATAACTGATGTCTCTCACTTTGTATATGCAATGCTTCATGTTATTAGTAAGGTCGATTACAGGTTACAGTGATAACAAAGATGTTAATAATTATGCAAACCATTTAAGGAATATATTTTTAAAAAGTAGTAAGACTTGTGTAGTAAAAGCAGGGCTGGAATTTTTATAACTAAATCCAGCATCTCGTTATCTCTTCCTTAAATTGGTGGGGGAAAAGCGTATACAACGGGGTGAACTGCAGCACTCAAATACTTCAGCCCTCTTCCTTATTCTGACCATGGCTACTCCTCAGCTTTTTCATTGCCTTTCTGCCAGTTTCTGTCACTCATTTTGCTGCCCTCATTAACAAAAGCATGCACAACCCACATCCATCATGCTAGACCACCAATGACCATGCCCCTTGTACTCACCAAGTGCAGTGACAATGAGATTTATGCAGTGGATATGAGACAAGTTGTTGTGGAAGAATACAACAAGAATGCCTCTCAGTTGAAGACCCACCAAGCTGGTATGTGTTTATGTATGTATATACATGCACACACTTAGAGATTTGACTCAACAAATCTCCAACAGCTCCTTTTCTCTTTATGTAAACCAATAATAATCTTGTGGAATACACAAATCAAAGATAATATACCTTCTATCCACTCTTGACTAAGCTATAGAAGATATATTATAAGTAAATAAGAAATGATATTTAGTTACTAAAATAACTAAAATACACAATTAACCTTTGCAAAATACAAAATTGTATTTTACAACTGAAGTATAAACAAAACAAGTAGAGGAATGAATAAGAGTAAAAGGCTATATATGACTGGCCAGGTGTGAAGCTAGCAGTCTGTGGAGGCACTTGACACAGTGTCTAACACCAAAAGTTTCATTCCTGAAATGTAGTCATCCCAGACCTGCAGACTGGCATCATTATTAGTTTTTCCAAGAACAATTTTAACCAACTACTGTTGGGGAGGGGATGTATGTCCATGCCATGCCCACTGTAAGTTTAGTTTATTAATTGTCTTTACATATAGATGGCTCCACAAGTAGTAAGTCACCAATGAGCTAGTTGTGAGCATTACTCATCTCACCTGTTTATCCTTTTCCTTGATTTTTGAAAATATTTTCTGATATATTATATTGCTGTGAACCCAATAATGTTGGGCAAAAATTATGATTGTTGAATACGATCATGGGTTTATTGGCATGCATCAATAGTTTCCCCAGTTTGTGCCCAGTTCGTTCAGTGGTTTGCAGGCAATATTAGGCACCTACAAGCTTGTATTTTGATACAATTTTTCAAAATGTCAAATTTTTAACCCACTAACAATGGCTGTCCCACCTATGAGACACCCGAAAAAATAAACATTGCTGGGCATCCCACCAGTGTGATGTTGTATCGGGGCTCGCTCCGCGCGGGCAGAGTCTGGGCCAGCCCCGCACGCTGATTTTGTAGCCGCCCGGAATCTTTTATTTTCGGCTTCAAAATATACCAGCGTTAATGGCCTAAAGGTTAATCTTCACTTTAGGTACTAATGCCAAAAAGGTTTTTCCATACAAATGATGCCCTTACTATTGGAGAAAACTAGCTCCATCAGAGAAGCCAACAGGGAAGGGTCTTGTTTGATGCCACCCGCTACTTTGTCCACAACAATCATGGCATGCATGTACATGCTACCTGGCGGGAAGTGGTTAATAATGGAAATACTTTAATGTCTATAATAATAAGAGCATTGATATTGATAGCATTAGGTTGGGGGGAGACTCGGGGAAAGGTGAAATCAGGTGAGATCATAAGGTCTACTAATTGATTTCCTTGTGACTAAGCACTTGTGGAGCCATCTATGTGCAGAGACATTTCACAAAACAATACTACAGTGAACACTACATTTTCCCAGTGACACTGGGTTAAAACTATTTATCTAAGAAATCCTGTGTAAGCCTTACCCTCAGAGCCCTCAGATCCCTTTGATGTAGCCTCTGCTAATTCTGCCAGTGTTGCCAGGACTGATGTGTTTTGATCTGTAATTTACACAAGGACTTTACACAAGGACTCTTCTCCCATTTGTTTCTACCCTCTATCTTTGCTTGACATATTGCACCTAGTTTAATCAGATACATAACATTAGGGCAACATTAACAATGTGAGATTCACCTAGGAAAGAACTTCAATTTTTTCTCAATTTTCTTTAACCCCAATGATCTGGATGATATGACCATTATATCATGAAAAAAAATTGACTTGAGAGGCGGGTGATGGGAACATTGAGAACTAGGCTGAAGGAATCTTGCCATCATGAGCATCTTGGCTTGAAACCCAGGTAACAGGAATGACTCTTAACAAGTGCACAAAATTCTTGGAGGGTGATTAGACTCTGTAGGTATTCAGGAAGGGGCTTTTGAATTATTTCCATTGATAAACGAGTGTGGAATGTACCATCCATAAGCCATCACTAGAAGAGCACCAGCTCTGGGAGGATGCTTTACTACACTCAGGAAACTATTCCTCCCCACCGTGAACAGCAGGGCAGGTTGTATTACAGAAAATTTAATTTAAATTGAGTTATGGACTATCTAGAGAGATGCTACAGAGTCATATAAGGAAAACAGTCTATTACAATCTGGATAAAACAAATAAAATTACAAAAATAGACAGTAAAAAATGTCAACAAAACTAAAAATACCTATGTACAAAAAAAGAAAATAACTTTGCAAAGGGAAGGCTTGGAGTCTTGTCACTGCACACAAGTGTTCTTGTGAGCTGGCCTATAAGCCACGCACCTGTGAGTGGCTGCTCAAGTAAGCCTAATGCCTGTATCTTGGGCCATGTGCAGGCAGTGGAGCATCCACATCAAAGGGGTTAATAAGAGAATCACATAGGCCCGCACTTTTAAAACCTTCGCCAGTGCTAGAGATCGCCTGGCGAAGCTAAGCCAGGCGAAATTCTGAGTGAGGGAGGCCTTACTTTTAAACCCAACGTTCGCCAGGGCGGGCGAAGGGATCGCCAGGCGCTAACATTTTGCATTCTCGCTAAATCTAGCGCAAATTTGTTTACATCTGCAGTGCACATAACATAACCTAAACTTAATTTTTAACCTCGAGAGAAGACGAAAGTGTTGTTTCCGTAAAAGTCTCATTTTATACTATAACAAAGGAGTTAAAATTTAACTTTATGGTACAACAAAGAAGTTGAAAATAACTTTATACTATAACAAAATTAACTTTATCTTTTTGCTATACTACACTTTATACTATAACAAGGTTAACTTTATGGCCTGTACTTTTAAAATCTTTTGCCAGTTCTGGCAAAAGGTTTCGCCGGGCGATCGGGAATTTTGTACCATTAAAAGTTTGCCAGGTGAACTTTCGCCTGGGCGGCGAACGATCGTTTGGAACAGCCAGGCAAAGCAAAGTCGCGAGAGCCCTCCCTTTCCCATGTTTAAATACCATTTTCTTGCTTTTAAATTATAAATTAGTAACATATTTACGTATGATATAATGTAGGAATCACATTGTAATTCTAAAATATTTTAAAATCATAATTTATTATGAAATAACGTATATACGTCGTTTTTTCAAGACCTTCGATGTTCCAGTCGAGAGCTTAAGACATCAGCTGTATTCCTACCCCCTACCCCCCACCCCTGAGATGACTTATTTAGATTTAGGTTGTTGTTATTTTGGTTGTAAGGAATGTTCTTTTCACAAATGTTAAAAGTGTTTTGACGATGGCATGTTTACTACGGGCTATAGAAATATGGCTGTAGTGCTCCACCGCTCTATAATGAGGCGTGTCTAACCTAACCTAACCCTTGTATCCCAACAGTTAACTATTTTATATCGGTTAGGTATAATAAAATTATTAATTTTTAACTCCTTTGTATAAAGTGAGGCTATTACGGATATAATATTATCGTCTTCTCCCGAGGTTAATAATTAAGCTTAGATTATGTTAGGTAAGGTAATATATATGATATAAGGAAGGTAAGGTAAGGTAATATAATATAAAAAAATAAATAATATATTTACTTATATGTTTATATAACACACTGCAGATGTAATAAATTTGTGTTTCTCGTGTTTTTTTCATTCGCCGAAGCGCTAGATTTAGCAGGAATCCAAGATGATAGCGCCTGGCGATCCCTTTCGTTCGCCAGGCCTGGCGAACCTTTGTTTTTAAAAAGTGGCCTCCCTCACTCAGATGTTTGCCTGTCGAAGCTTCGCCAGGCGAAAGCCAGAATTGGCGAAAGGTTTTAAAAGTACTTTATACTATACTATATCAACTTTATACTTTTATACAAAAAATAACTTTATACTTTAACAAAAGAGTTTAAAAATTACTATTTTACTATTCCTAACTGATATAAGATATTGAACTGTAGGCTTACAAGGGTATCATTAGACACGCCTCATTATAGGGCGGTGGAGCACTACAGCCAGGCATGATTTTAATAGTACGAAATTCCGGATCGCCCGGCGAAACCTTTCTCCAGCACTGGTGAAAGGTTTTAAAAGTACGGGCCATAAACCTTTGATCCTCTGACAAGCAATAAATACAATTAAATCAATTGTTTATGAATTATCTTTATTCTTTACTGAGGTGAAACATCTAGATGGGCATTTACAACGCAATAAAGTATAAGAAGAAAAAAGACAAAGAAAAAAAAATTAGCATATCACATGATGATTTCAGCATAATGACACAAAAGGAAAGCTCACCATCTGAGTCATCTGCCAGGATGGAGTGAGGTAGATCACCCTCCATACTAAACCTTTCTTCCTCCTTCTCTGCCTGGTCTTCCACCAGTTCCTTAGGTGAAATGAAATGGAATATAAAGCTATGAAGTAATGAGGAGGCCCAAAACAAAAGGAAAAATTATGTTTTAGTAAAAATGATTTTGCTTATGGTATGCTGAGGGATTCAACTGTAATCATCACTAGGGGCTATATCAAACCATATGAAAGTCTAACCCTCTTACAAACAGTAAGTTTCCGATAAGCTTCAGCATGGTTTACTTATCCCTTTCTCTAACCTGCCTAGTTGTTGAGTGAAAATCCAGATAAGAATCAATCACATGCACAAATTTACAAGAAATCAGTAAATGACATATTTTGAAAGTGACACATTCACAATTATTTAAGATTATGGAGATTTGGGCAAAAATCTCATTATTAGCAAATAATTTAATACAGCACCATGACAATATCAATTTTCTTCTCCACAATCTGGATTTTCTTCTCTACGATCTGGAAAAATCTGGGGCAAGGGCCGGGTGATGTGAACATGCCATCATCGGGCAAAATGGCCGAGGATCAGGTGACATGAACTTGCCGTCATGAGCAAAGGCCAGGGTGACGGAAAAGACTCATCATGTGTATGATTTGACTCATTTGGTGCTTAGAAGGGGACTTTAACATTATTCCCATCGATAAACGAATTTGGATAGTAACGTGCGTCCTCCATTTCCATGCTGTGCTTCATATTTCTGGCTGCAGTGAAGCAGGTTGTATTACAGAAAATTTAAAATTACAAAAAAATATGACATGACTCAAATGACCAAATAACTTTACAAAGGGGAGGCACAGTCTTGTCACGGCTCATGGGTGTTCACATGCCTGGCCTATGCAGCACATGACCAAGGTGTTGGCAACTTACGTAACCCACTGCCCATATTTTCAGCACCGTTATTTCAGTGACACAACCGGATCCAAAAGGTTAAGACCTGACTATTCTAAATCACTTCTAATGTAACACAGCTAAATCTAAATATAATGATGCTTGATCCATGGAAACACTTCACAATAGAAAATATTACAACAAAATATCATCCTATCTGTAAAAAATAATCTTCAGCACTCACTTCTTCATATTCCTCTGTACAAACCTCCTCCGTCTTGCACACAACAGGAATAGAGTTCAAGTCATCTGTGACATTTAGTGAAATTGATTCCACTGCAACTGCCTCCTCCTCTTCTTTGTAATTCACACCTTCCTGAAAATTAAAAAGCCAATAATGGAGCTGAGTATCTTTACAAGTCAAGCATTTAGCACATGACATCATTTACTTACATGTGGCAAGTATGAGAAAAGCACAAAAATACAGTTTGGGAAAGCTAGTTAAATTATAATATATCACACTGCTGTAGCAGAAACAGATCAAATAAATTATAAGCAGACAATTCAACCCAAAAGCTATGATCAAAGACATTCCAAATCCATGTATCTATCAGTTTACTGCAAAGAAACAGCAATGATAAAGGCACTTCAATTTCAAGTCAGAGGAACTAATTCATCTACCAGTTTCTTATCTAACTGTAAATGCTTATAGCATTTACTTCCTTTAGCTACTATCACTGTATGCAAGAGAAATGTCTCACAAATAAATGTCAACTTCAAGTTAATTATTAACTACTCCTTTAACTGTTAATCACAACTGTTCTTCAGCTCACTTGTGCAATTGTGCAAATTAACCTCAATCTTTAACTTTTATTGTAAACAAATTTGTTCTTTCAAGTTCAATTTGATATTACACATCAGCAAATTTGTATCTCTTGGGGTAGGAGGAGGTATAGAGAAGAGGGGAGAGCTCTGTGGCCTTGATGCTGGCAAGTCTTAAGCCGGTGTTTACCAAACTTTTTCGGGTGCAACCCTAAAGACAGTCTTGGCCTAGGCTAGCAACCCTAAATGTGTGAACATGTAGTAATATATCCAACCATTTTCTTAGTAGTTATACTTGCAGATGGATATTATCTTAGGTTATTCTATACTTTTATAGATTTATAGTGCCAACACACTGGATTTCAATAAACAAGTGTTAATAAAAAATATTTAATTTTACTGACATATCCAGCAGTGGATTTTTTTATTCTTCTTTAAAGGCCCTCTGACGACCATCAGTCAGAAAAACTCTGGTGACTCTCATTAGGGTCATCACCATGGGGTTGGGAAGCACTGTCCTAAGCAGTACACTCTTTCTATCTCATTCTCGAGGAATGTTGAGGCCGGAAAACAATTTGACATGTTTAATAGCTGATAATCTATTGATGCAACTTATTTTTAAGACACAATTAACTAACATGCTCAACTGTGGCAGTTTAAACATTTGGCCAAATTCATTTCCAGTGCGTTCATTTTCAGAGGAAGGTTCAGGGTTACCAGCATGACTTACTCCTTTGGAAAGGATCGATAGATGTTGAAATTCATCCCCCAGCTTAACCCCTTGGACCTGAATGACGATGCGGTCACGTCATGGATAAACAAGTTGAGGTGTGGGTGACAAATTAAAACCTAGTTGAGGGGAGGGTGATGCAACCACCACATCATAAGAAAATTTGAATGAGGGGTGGGTGATGTGAACATCCCGTCATGGTGCTGGAATAGGAAGAGAGGGAGAAAGTAGGAGAGAGGTCTTTTTATTTGCAACACGAGAATTCGGGCTGGTGTAGGAAGAGAGGGAGAAAGTAGGGGAGAGGCCTTTTTATTTGCAACACGAGAATTCGGGCTGGTGTAGGAAGAGAGGGAAAAAGTAGGGGAGAGGCCTTTTTATTTGCAACACGAGAATTCGGGCTGGTGTAGGAAGAGAGGGAGAAAGTAGGGGAGAGGTCTTTTTATTTGCAACACAAGAATTCGGGCTGGTGTAGGAAGAGAGGGAGAAAGTAGGGGAGAGGTCTTTTTATTTGCAACACGAGAATTCGGGCTAATGTAGGAAGAGAGGGAGAAAGTAGGGGAGAGGTCTTTTTATTTGCAACACGAGAATTCGGGCTGGTGTAGGAAGAGAGGGAGAAAGTACGGGAGAGGTCTTTCTATTTGCTACACGAGTAGGAAGAGAGCTTCTTATATTTTCAATTCAAAATTTTTGTCTTA